TAGTTATTATGGAAGGTATTACATATTTAAGAAATATATAGTATTTCAATTTTAAGAAAATGATTTTTAAGATTTTGTCATTAATTTTTAGCCTTAGAAAACTTGTCAGAAAATACATAGGCCCAGACCTATACAGCTTGTTCATTTTTTTAAATTTTCTTTTATTATGTTATGTTAGTCACCATACAATACCTCATTAGTTTTTGATGCAGTGATCCACGATTCATTGTTTGCGTATAACACCCAGTGCTCCATGCAGTACGTGCCCTCCTTAATACCCATCACCGGGCTAACCCATCCCCCCCCCCAAAAAAAACCCCTCAGTTTGTTTCTCAGAGCCCATAGTCTCTCATGGTTCATCTCTCCCTCTGATTTCCCCCCTTCATTTTTCCCTTCCTTCTCCTAATGTCCTCCATACTATTCCTTATGTTCCACAAATAAGTGAAACCATATGATAATTGACTTTCTCTGCTTGACTTATTTCACTTAGCATAATCTCGTCCAGTCCCATGCATGTTGATGTAAAAGTTGGGTATCCATCTTTTCTGATGGCTGAGTAATATTCCACTGTATATATGGACCACATCTTCTTTATCCATTCATATGCTGAAGGGCATCTTGGCTCTTTCCACAGTTTGGCTATTGCAGACATTGTTGCTATGAACTTTGGGCCCCCGACATGGGAGCAGCCATCTACATAAGCCAGCTGTTAACCAAAATAAAGAGTCATATTGATAACAATACATTAATTGTAGGAGACCTCAATACTCCACTCTCAGCAATAGATCATCTAAGCAGAAAATCAACAAAGAAACAAGAGCTTTGAATGACACACTGGACCAGATGGACCTCATAGATATATACAGAACATTCCACCCTAAAACAACAGAGTACTCATTCTTCTTGAGCGCACATGGAACTTTCTCCAGAATAGACCACATACTGGGTCACAAATCAGGTCTCAACCGATACCAAAAGATTGAGATTATTCCCTGCATATTCTCAGACCATAAAGCTTTAAAACTGGAACTCAATCACAAGAAAAAATTTGGAAGAAATTCAAACATGTGGAAGCTGTGACACTAGCATGACAACTGCTCTGGAAGAGGGGTTTACTAAGATAACAGGGTCCTTCAGTGGCACAGAAACAAAAATGTTTGTGTTTTGCAGAGTGGACTTAAACATTCTTGAGCAGGGAGCCCGATGCGGGACTCGATCCCGGGACTCCAGGATCATGACCTGAGCTGAAGGCAGTTGCTTAACCGACTGAGCCACCCAGGCGCCCAAAAATGACATTTTAATCCACTTAATGGTTTTTATTTTTTTCCAGTTTAAATTATACTTTGACACTTTTACATTATTTTTACAACCACTGTTTTCTGTTTATTTGCATTTTCCCATTATGCCTTTCTTCAACTTGTTATTTTTAAGTTAGCTGGGTCATTTTGTGTTAGGTGTTTATCTTCTAGTGTACAATTAGATTTTGTTTATTTAGACAGTCTGAGACCTTTTCTCTATTTTAACCCATTTATATTTATTGTCACAACAGAAATATTTTTTCTTTTGTCATTTTTATTACACAGTTTGAATGCTTTCATGTTTTTAAATATATTTTCTGTGTTCTATTTTATTTTTTTACCCCATGGCCTTTGCTTTTGTTTTCCTTTCAGTTATTGAAAATATAATTAGATACTTAATTCTTTATAGTAAGGTCTTCTGTTGACTTTCTTCTCTGCAGGCTGTGGCATTTATCCTTTATTTAGCCTTTTATTTTTGCAGACTTTCCCACACTCCCTACACATTTTTGTTTCTGTGCCACTGAAGGACCCTGTTATCTTAGTAAACCCCTCTTCCAGAGCAGTTGTCATGCTAGTGTCAGATGCTCTCTGTTTGGTGTGACTGTCATCCCCAAGTCATTTTACATAATCCGTAGGGAGCCATGTGTGTTGTTAATGGTTGATCTTACCACCCAAGGAAGCTGCCTCTTGGCAGGTATCGCCACCCTCTCCACCAGTTCTCTGCTCTCTCATTATAGCTGCTGGAGTTCTGGGCCCCACTGAGACCACTGGCCTCTGAATCCGTTAACCGGGAATGACCACATGGGCCACAAAAAGTTTCCATGTGAATGTTTTCCTGTTGGTCTCATCACCCATCTTACATTCTGTCCACAGGCTTGAAGTGAGGAGTGAAAGACAGGAGGGAGAAGGGTCCATTGTATAGGCTATTGAGGTAGTAGAGATGAAGAGCAATGAATATTTGAACCAGAGCCATTGGACTGGAATCGAATTGGCTTTGACTTACAAAATGGTTGCTTCATATGGTTCAACTTAATAGCAGAAATGGAAAGACATGGCCAGATTTAGAAATATTAAGTCAGAATCAAAAAGAAAATGAGAAGCAAGGCAGAAGGGGAAGCCCCAGCAGATGCCCAAATCCCAGTCGTCAGTGACTGGGTGGGTCATAGGGCAACCCACTGAGGCCCATATTTCAGGAAGGATAATGGGGCTGTGGGGGAGACAATTTGATAGGGAAGCTGTTCAGATTTGTTGCATACAGACTGTGTTTGAGACATCTGTATATAGTATCTGCAGAAAAATGCAGATCTCTTAGTTGGGTGAGACTGCTGTTCAGTGAAAAGTATGGAGTGGGGCTGGACTTGGGATTGTCGGTGAATTGGCAGCCATTGCAGAGTGTGCTCAGTAAAAACATGAGTAGAGGAACCTGACATTTCAGGGATAGATGTAGGAGGAGAAGTGCCTACAAAGAAACTTATGGTAGTATAGATAGTCCCAGATCTGTGAGGAAAAACCATGAGAGTGAAGTGTCACTTGAGCCAAAACAAGAGAGATCCAGAAAGGGAGAAGCTACAAACATTGATAATTGTAGAAAAATGGTCAAGTATTAATAATAATTATTGGCAAACATTGAGTACCAACCATGTGCCATACATTGTTCTAAATAGTGTATTAACTCCTTTAATATGAAAACTTATCTAGTAAAGTGGACACTATAATTACAGATGAGGAAACAGAGGCACAGAGCAGTAAGATAACTTGCTCAAAGTCACACACTAGTGAGTGGTGTAGCCAAGACTGGAACCCAGGCATTCTGATCCAGAGCCCAAGCACTACACTATCTTCCTTCTTAAGATAAGGATTGAAAATTGTCCATTAGATTTAGCAACTCTGATGTTACTGGTATTTGCCATGAGAGCTGTTCTGGGGAAAGTGTTGGGGACAAAGTCAAGATCATAGTGGGGGGTGGAGTTTTGCAGTGGGAAGTAAGGGAGTGTTGAGAGTGAGTGTAGATAAAACTGTTGAGAATCCCACATGTGATTGAAACACAGCTAGACTATGCTGGAGCAGAACCTGTTGGCCAAGGGTAGCTTTTAAAGAATAAGAGAAGCCCCAGTATTTACGTGTGCCAAAATCAGGGATAAAAGAGTTCAGAGATACAGGCTAAAGATAACCAAGAAGGACCAAGAAGCTGGAACAGGCAGTAGAGGTGAGGAGGGGTCAAGAGCACCAGCACGCCTTGAGGAGAGGAGGCAGTGGTTGGTTGTGGTAATCCGAGGTGTAATCTAACCTCTGATCGATGGGCAAGAAGTTAGAAATGAGCCCCTCTCCTGTCCCCTTACCTGTTGAAGATGTGCTGTGGGTGTGTGCTGTGATTGGGTGGGTGATGTTGAAGGGGGACATTTGTGTGGGGCACAGCAGTGGAGAAGGCAAGTTTGCAATAGACTTGTCAAATTTGGAATGAGGGTGTGAAAGAATTAGGGCTTTGAGTGAGATCAATGTGGATGGTTAGCTAGTGCAGTGGGGCGGCCCTGGGCTTGCTGAGAATACAGGAGGCCCGGGCCATCATACAGGCTCTAGGAAGGGTGAGGTCCAGGGTACAATGTGAGCCGCAGGGGCAGGTTTAAAAGGAGTGAGGGGCAGGAGGCTGTGTCAGAATACCGGTGGATGGAATTTCCGGTTTCTGGAGTGGACAAGGATGTGGATGTGGCCGAAGCTGGTTGGGAGATAAAGACCATGGAATTAGGGAGGTCAAGGGCATTGTTCATGGTGTTCACATAGGCAGTCACATCTCCTAGGCGAAGTTAGACAGTGGGTGGCAAGGAAAGCTGTTAACTGAGTTTTAAAAGCTCTACTGAAATACATGGTTTGGGTGAGAGAGTCAGAATGGAGAATTCAAAGAACTTGTTGCCTTTGGATTCCTGGATACCAGCATTTGTGCATGGGGCTTATCTTCAAGAGGTGTTATTAAGAAATTCAAGATGGGAGAGAGAGACAAACCAAGAAACAGACTCTTAACTATGGAGAAAAAACTGATGGGGGGAGGAGGGAATGGGACCAGAGAGGAGAGGGGGGCTGGGGGGATTGGACAAATAAGGATGGGGGTCGAGGAGTGCACTTGCTGTGATGAGCACTGGGTGTGGTATGGAAGTGTTGAATCACTGTGTTGTACACCCGAAACTAATATAACACTGAATGTTAACTGTATTGGAATTAAAATTAAAAAAAAAATTCAGATGGCATATATTCCTGGGGGATGTAGAATCAAATCAGGGTAAACCCTCCTTGGCTTATGGTAGCTTCCAAGGCAAGCTCCTCTGTCACACTTCATAAGAAAGTTGGGGTATTAGGAAGTAATTCTCCTCTGTGCTTCACTTGAAACAACAATGAAAAAGGTGCAGATTGGGGTTTCAGGCCATGCTTGGGTTGTTCTTCTGCATTCAAGTGTTATTTCTGAAATCCATTAAAAATGTTCCATGTGTCTGACTCTTCTTTTGCTGGTCATTAGAATGTGGCCTTTTTTTTTTTTTTTAATCTTGTGTTGAAAATCCGAGTCCATTGCCAGGGTAGTGTACAAGGCTAATAGAAGGCCTCTTTGGGAGGTTCTGGTGGGAAGCTGAAACATAGAGGGTTTGGGGGCTGGGCAGCTTCCTGTGATGCCTACAACTACTTCTGTGAAATTGACTCCCACCCTGTGTGTTGCAGGTGATATTTGAATCCGTCTCTTTGAAGGGTCATCCTGGCTACATCGCTGTGGACGAGGTCCGGGTCCTTGCTCATCCATGCAGTAAGTCTGCACCCTCCTCCTCACACAGCCCCACTCCCTGCCAGACTGGGGAGCTTGGAGCCTGCAGTCCCCCCCATTCATTCAGCTCACAACCATCTCTGGCTCGCTCTCTCTTTTTTAATCCTTCAGAAATGCTTACATACTCAGTGCAATCAGTCCTGAATAAATTCGTAATTTCGCTGGCCTGTTCAACAGGCAGCACCTACAGGAATTTGCAGAGAGTGGCAAAACATCTTTGTTTGAATCTGTCTCCGTCATTAAGGGAGTCTAAAGTCCTGATTGTTTATTAGTGGGATTCAGACCACCGAAGTGGAAGAATTAGAAGGCTTTGGATAGAATCTTGTGCAATTGTCTTAAAAAAAGACCGCCACCAAAACACTGAGCAAATTAGTACACTGTTCACTCACAGGGAAAAGTACCCCAAAGCTATTAATTCTTTAAAAGTACTTTTAAATACACTCATCAGCTCTGTGTAGGCATTGGGAGAGTTTTCTCACAGTGGTTAATGCTCACGGTCCAGTGTCAAGAGTCCTCGAAGGCATACCGCTCCTCTGTGCCCATCCAGTCTCCCCCTCGAAGTTCGCTCTCTTTGCTGTGTTTAGTCTCAGATATCTTAACGTGTTTGTGCAAGGACCTGTGGTTCCCAGTTTCACGAAATCCCAGAGGGGAGTTTGATGGCATCCTATCTAGTGACATTTGGTTGGGAGGGCTGTAGTCAAAGGAATATGCATGGGGGTGATGGCCGCCCCCAGGAGGGCTAGCTGGGATACCAGCCCCATTAGTTTGTTAGCATTCTGCATATTGGAGATTCCCATTAATTTCTTGGCAGCGAGCTGGTTCCGGGTAACTCCTGGAGGGCTCGCTCTACTCCCTCCTCGTAGCCATGAGTTACGCTATTGGTTGTGGTGCAGTTTGCTATTTCCTCAAGAAGTGTCATGCCCCTTGTTGTTAGAGGCCTTTCAGTCCTTTCATTTTGGGGCTCTTCTCATGTCCGCCCCATCCATGTTGCTTTAATTGAAATGACACTTTGCACTTCTGCTGCAATGAATTTGTTAGAACTTGAACATCACTTCCTTCCCCAGCACTAGAATGCCAATTGTTTGACTCATTGCTTAGAGCACCTCTCTGGAGGAATTTGGGACAGGTTCCAAGGGGTTTTGGCTAGGCGGTGTTTGGGATCATTGTGTTTTGTGTCTCTGTAAGGGAGCCCTTCTTCCCCGAAACCAGCCAGCTTCTCAGGAATGCTGAGATCATACGAGATTCTTCATTACTCTGGCCTGAGCTTTCTGCCCTCTGGGTTACTTGCTGGGTGTTTGGGATTTCCTTAGGTGGGTCTGTCCATGCAGTCATGCCTGCTGAACCAGACTTCATATGAAGAGGGTCCCAGAAATCCCCCCAGCCATGCAGTGGGAATTTTCACCTCTGTTATAAGGCCCAACCTGATTCCTGTTCCTTATTCCAACCTCAACTCTGCCTTAACTCCAAGCGCTGTTGCCTTAACTCCATGCACCATTTATATAGTAGATAGTTAATCCAACTCACCCCGATTAAGCTTTCCCCTCCCTGGCCTTCTGGGAATCAGGATTAGCTGCCCGTTAAAGAATGACCTTTGATCTCACCCTGGACAACTGCTGCAGGACGTGTTTGCCCTCCCTGTGGTCCGCCTAACCCCACACACTCAGCTCTGCTCAGCTCCCAGTTTTGAGGTGGTCTCTGTGAGGCAGGGTTCAGTTTCCCCAAGCCCTGCACACATCCCATCCTCGCTAGGGACGCTCACCTCTGCTGTGTCCAGCTGCATCCCTGCTTCTTACCCTATACTTGGTTTTTCTAGTAGGTGACTTTTGGCCCTTCCCGGGAGAATCTGGCCTGGCTCTCTTGTCGGGGATCCCAGATCTCTCTACTCAGAGTGGGGAATTTTCACCTCTGTCGTGAGGCCCAACCTGATTCCTGTCCCTTGTTTCAATCTCAACTCCGCCTTAACTTCAAGCACTGGTTTGCTGTTAAAGCCAAATGCTTCCTTCTCTCTGAGACATCTGTATGGGAAAGGGTTCTCTGGAGGGTGTTTAGATGCTTTTACACCCTAAAGCTTCATGCCCCCCCTTTGGAGTACTGCCCCCCCCCAACCTCACTGGAGCTGCTCCTGAATTTAGGATTCTCCCTGACAGCCTTGTATTCCTCCTGCTGAGGAGTGTGGATTGCATGGTTATGGAATTGCTGAGAGCCAGTTAGCCAGCAAATGGGCCACAGGATATAACTCAGAAGGACGTGACTCTGGCTGTGTTCCTGGGTAATGGGAGTACAATGCAGAGTTTAGCCTCGATGCTTAGGCGGCTTGGGCTTAAACTCCCCAGAAATCAAAAAGTGAGGACTCTGTGATAGTGGCTGGAATTGGAAAAATTCCACTGAACAGTATGTACAAATCCTGGCGATGCGTATAGTCTGCAGGGGTCTGTGCACACAGCTCCTGAGTTGCATAGAGTTGAGCGGTGCCTCGCAAAGGCCCCTTCTCCAGTTGGGTGCTCAGTCCACAGCCACTCCAGCTCTTCACTCCTACTTTCTTCAACAGGTAAATTATTGCACATGAGCTATGTGTCAGGAACTTGCGCTGGACATGGGGGGCACTTCAGTCATCACGTTGGTTAGATCCTTGTCTCCATGGTGTTAGCCGAGTGGCAGAGGGAGGAAAGCCACTCAATAAGTAATAGTAAGTAGTAACAAATGTAACTTCAGATAGTGATAGCATGGTGGAGAGAATAAATGTGAGTTGCTGTGGTTGGGGAGGGCTCCTTAGGTAGAGAGGGCAGGGGATGAGTCTGGGCACCTGTGGTCTGAGCTGACACCTGAGTCCCTTGTGCGGTGATCTAGGGAGGGGGGGCAGGCCAGGCAGAGGAAACAGCAGGTGCAGAGGCCCTGCAGTGGGAATTCACAGGTGTTGCCAGAGTAGCTAGAGTGTAGGGAGCACAGGGGAAAAGGGTCTGAGTGAAGGTTGGGGAGGGAGACTGAGGCCAGGCCATGGAGGGGCTGAGTGTCTCGATGAGGTTAGGCTTTAATCAAAACACAAGGAGGCGCCCCTGGAAGGATTTGTCCCAGGGATTGATTTGATCTCATTTAAGTGTTTAGAAGATCACTTTGGCTGCTCTGCAGAGAATGAGCTGAAGGAGAATAGAGAAGCCAGGAAGACCGATCAGGAAGGAAGTTCTGGAGTCATGGAAGAGGTAGGTGGTGGTGGCCTGGACCAGGCTGGTGGAGAGACATCTGTTCACCGTTTGGCATGTGTTTACTGAGCATGTACTCCAGGACAGGCACTATTCTGGGTTTATACATATTCATTCTCTGTCCTTGGGGGCTTCCATTGAGATGGAAGACACTGGAAATGAAATAGTCAAGTAATTAATTATATGATCTCTAACAGGGTAAATTAGTTGGCTAAGACTGCCATACAGAATGTTACATGCTGGGCAGGCTTAAACAGCAGAAATGTATTTGCCCACAGTTCTGTAGGTGGAATTCCAGGGTGAAGAGAGCAGGGTTGGTTTTTCCTGAGGCTTCTGTCCTTTGCAGCTGGCTGCCTTCTTGCTCTGTCCTCACATGGGCTTTGCTCTGTGTAGTGTTCCTGATACGTTTCTGTGTGTCCAAACCTTCTCGGGACACCAGATAGATTGGATTAAGGTCCACCATAATAAAAGCCCTATCTCCAAATACCGGCACACTCTGAGGTGTGGAGCAGTAGGGCTTCAATATCTGAATCTTTTTTTTGGGGGGGGGGACACACAATGTAGCCCGTAACAGATGGTCAGCAGTGCTATGAAGAAACAAAGCACAGAGATGGAGAGAGGTGGACAGGTGAGAGAGAGATTTAGGAGGTAGAGTCCGCTGGTCCTATTTGATGGCTTGGTTTGGGAGGCAGAGGCATCAGAAATGGTGCTCTCCTGGGTTTGTGGCTTGGGCACCTGGCTGGTGCAGGCTGGGGTGGTGTACGTCTCTGGAGCTGAGTGTTGCCTTCCAGCGCGCCGACCGTGTACGCATCCTGGGGGGCTCGGGGGGCCGTGAGTCATGCGTGCTGCTGGTGGCTCCTTTGCACTGATGGCGCCTTTTGCCCCCAAAGCCTTCGTGTGAGTGCATTTATGGTTTCACTCACGGGTGCTAAAAACTATATTGAGAAACACGCGTTCTCCTCAGGCTTTGTAATTCTCCACTTCCGTCCTCCAAGACATTTATTTTTTCTCTTAATATCAGGTCAGCACTTATCAATAAGCTATTCTGCTAAATATTCCAAAAGTTCCAGGGCCGGTGGGGTGGGGGCCGGTTAGTGCCTGATTTGCAACTGTATTCTCGATCGATTTGAGCTGAAGTTACCACTTCCCGTGATTGCCGTGCAGCTTCCAAAACACCAACCGACAGACAGGCGTAAGACTCAAAGGAAGTGATTTTCTCCTACAAACTGAAGCCTCTCGTCTATATTTTATAGCCCATTTAACATTTTTGTGGGATTCTAAAAGTATTTTAGCCATTGTCACCCCTCTGCTGTCGTTCTCGGTGTCAGCTGTGAGCAGGGACACCACAGCTGCAACCGCACACGAGAACCGTCGGCACGATTTTCCACCCGGTCTCCAAGTTTCTAGCTCCCAAGTTGACTTTTAGAATTTTTTAAACTTTCCCCCCCCCACATCACAACCTTGCAGGGCCATGTCACCAAGCCCACGGAGCGTCTGCAACACGTTTCTAATGTATGTACTGCGCTTTCTCCTCAATCGCATGGCTTCCTACTGAGCGCTGTCAGGTTTAAAGAGCGAGATAAAGGGCATAATACTGTGTCTCCAGATGCTGCTCTGACATCGGCAGGAGTTTAAATGTCACCAACATCAAGGCGTTTTGCCCCAAATGCACAGCCAGTTTGCTGTTAACGCCCCTTCAGTGGGACCCCACTTTGGGGGTGCTGGGTCTTAGTGGGGAGTGAGGGTGGGATGTTTAAAACCACATGCTGGAGACTGGGCCCCAAGGTCAACCGTGTTTGGCCCCAGGTTGGCAAGCGGAAGCTGGCGGGATAAATTCTTTCCCTGAGCTATAGATGCTGGAGGAAAATCACGGTGGAGAGAGTGTAGGGCTCAGAAGTAGACCGGAGGCAGAGAGGGAGAGAGAGAGTGTGTGTGTGTGTGTGTGTGTGTGTGTTTTGGGGGGAGAGGGAGGGTCAGAAAGGCCAGGAGCTCAGAGAAGTGGCCTGAACAGGTCGCCAACATAAGGAGGCTCCCCAGTTCTGGGTAAGTTCTTGTGTCGGGAACGTTGATCTAGGGCTAGCAGTCATGTGATCCACGGCATGCTGCCTGGAGGGTTGGGGGCATCCCTGGATTTATGGAGCCAGACAAGGCAGGACCGGCCAGTGGGAATTGTTCTAGATGACTTACATAGGAGCTAACAGAGACTGCACGTGTGAAGAGCTTGCCTGCAGATGTGTTTTGTTAAGTCTGCATGGCGTTTTAATGGAATTTAGTCAAGATTTTAGAATGAGAGATTTCACATAAAATCGGATTTCTTACTTGGGTTGAAAAATTGGACGATTGGCTGCCCTGAGCAAAGTACTGTGGAGTGGCCTTCTCCGCTGGATTTGAGTAACCCCCTTTCAAGGGGTCATGGGGTCTTTATCCGTTTCTCCTCAGGCCCTACACTCCTTAGTCCCTCCTCGGTGCTGAGGCAGGTGTCAGATACCAGTTGTCACTGTGTGTGCAACGTTACTGTTCTCACAGAGAGAGAAATCTTTGTTTTACTATTTTTTTTTTTTTAAGATTTTACTTATTTGGGAGAGAGAGAACGAGTGAAGGGGAGGGGCAGAGGGAGAGGGAGAAGCAGGCTCCCCGCGGAGCAGGGAGCCAGATGCAGGACTCGATCCCAGGATCCTGGGGTCATGACCTGAGCTGAAGGCAGACGCTCAACTGACTGAGCCACCCAGATGCCCCCAAATCTTTATTTTACACAAATCTCTATCAAAAGTGGGAAAGTGATTATGGAACAAGGAGGTGGTGTTTTGTTTTTGTTTTGTTTTCCACTGAACCACTTTATTCATTGATATAACTGGCTTCTGTGGGTGCATGGGTTCAACCTCACTGCTATAAACCATCCATGTTTCACCAGAATATTAACCCTAGGGGCCATTAAGCCTCTAAATTCTCTACCCCTTAACCTAGAAGGGAGGGAGGAAGAGGGCCTGAAGATGAAAGAATCCAGACAAAAGTTCTGCTGCTGAGAAGCCGGGAATCAGAAGCAAGCAGGGAATATTGATCCAGAGATCCATTTCCCATTATACAAGTTCCAGAGGTTAAACCATTTGCCCAGTGTCCCCAAGGGTAAGGACAGACAGACGTCCCTTTGTGAAACCCAGCACAAAGCCTCCCAAGATTGGAGCTGAGACTGTCATCCCTCCCTGCATGGAGTGGCTGTTCCCTCCCTTTTAAACCTGGGGTGTAAAGGGGCTTACAAGGTTTACTTTTAGTCCTACTTGAAGAATTGACTTGAACTGATAGCTGCAAAAATAACTTTATAAAATTATACAGGAGGGGCGCCTGGGTGGCTCAGTCGTTAAGCGTCTGCCTTCGGCTCAGGTCATGATCCCAGAGTCCTGGGATCGAGCCCCGCATCGGGCTCCCCGCTCTGCGGGAAGCTTGCTTCTCCCTCTCCCACTCCCTCTGCTTGCATTCTCTCTCTTGCTGTGTCTCTCTCTCTGTCAAATAAATAAATAAAATCTTAAAAAAAAAAAATTATACAGGAAAGCCAAAAGGAAACAATTTCAGACAATCAAAGCAGCATGGTATTTGTCAGGTTGACCAGATGCTGGAATCTTCAGTTTGGAGAAGCCTGCAAGGAGAGGTCTCCCCTGTGCCTTTGCTGCTTGACACGACTTTAGCAGTGGGGTCCTGAAGGTAGCGTGAGGGGGTCCCTGAGCTGTTGTCCTTTTTTAAGAGCCTGAGAAGAAGGTGTGTTTTCACACAGCAGGTCTGCCTCATCATGCCAAAGGTTTGGCTTTGGCTGAACTCTCTATGTCATGACACACATTGGTAGAGCAGGTAGTTCAAAGTAGGAAGGCCATGGGGACAAATGGCTGGGAACAGGATGACTCATGATTAAATACTTGGGAGCAATGAGAGGAGCCTTGAGTCAGCACAGCCTGGCCTGCAAGCCCTTTCTCTCAACCCTGGCGTCCAGGTGACATCACTGACCTCCCATTACCCAGGAAGCCAGAGAATGTATGATTTAAATGTTGACATTTGGGCTAAGATTTGGACTGAATTCTGTTTGTCTCTTACTAATGCCATGTAGCTTTGAGCAAATTAAACTCGTTGAGCCTTGGTTTCTGAGTCTTGGTCTCTCTGAAAGGGGAATAGTAATATTGTCTGCTTTACAGGAATGTTACAAAGTTAAATTAGATAAAGCATGTAAAGCATTTATCAGAGTGCCTGTCATTGCCAGAGCTTTAGATAAGTGACATTATTGCTTTTAGTCGTCTCTCTGGGTATCGGACTCTCTCTGAAAAGATGGCCAGAGGCCCTTGTTGAACCTTCTTGGTCGTCTTAGCAACTGTTCATTTGGGCTCATCGTGGTGTAGTGGCTGTCCAGTTCATCATTGATTTGGTTGATGTACTAGGGGATCCTTGGCACTTTTGTGCCTCAGTGAAGAAATTCATATTTCTAGACATTGGTTAGCAACCCACGCATCTTGGGTGAGCTCAAATAGGTGAGACCCTGACTCCACAAACAAGGAAAGAGATGAACCCATTACCCCACATGAAACAGTTTCATTCTGGGATGATTACTCACAGACCCTGTGAGTTTCATTTATTTGGAAGTCCCTTTTCCTGTTATGCCAAGTCCCCAGAGCAAATGTCGCACATCCCTCCCATCCTTGAGAGAGACTATAGCTTAGAGTTCAGAGTGTAGACTGAGTGTTGCTTGAGTTCTCTGTGCCTCAGTTCACTCACTGTAAGACATAGATGATCCTGCCACCAGCTGCGTTGGGTTCAGTGAGTTACCGTGTGTGGACCCCGCACAGCAAGTCCTGTGTGAATGACAGCTCCTGGTTTTCTCCTCCACCTCTTCTCCCTCCTTTGCTCTACCTTCCTTATCATCTTCCTCATCGGCGTCCTCACCATGGCCAGGCGTGTGGGTCTCAGGCTCAGAGGTGCTTTGCTTCAGCTTTCCTCTTTCTGCTCTCAGGCTGGAGGGAGGACTTCTCTGATGAATCCTCCCCATGTCCCCACCTTCAATTTTTCCTTCCGAACATGCCAGTATTGCCCAGATGCTAATAAGTGGGATTTTGAGGCTCCAAGAGACCTGGATTCATGTCTTGGCTCCCTCATTTTCTGGCTCTCTGACTGTGCTGAACTATGTAAGTCCTCAGAGCCTTCATTTTCTGATTGTGAAATGGAGATGTTACCCATCGCCTGGATATTGGCGGGGTTTAAGTGAGGCGATCACGTGAAGCTCTTAGGACAAGCAGTGCCTGGCTCACAGTAAGTGAGCAAGCAACAGTAGCTTCGCTGCGCCAGGCCACTTCCCAGGTGTTGATGCCCCGCTGCCCAGCGCTCGTCCTGAGCTGCCATCCACCCATGGGGAAGTGCTGCCGGCTGTTGAATTCAGCCCTCACGTGCAGTTTGGTTTCTCTCCTAGGAAAAGCACCTCACTTTCTGCGGCTCCAAAATGTTGAGGTGAACGTGGGGCAGAACGCCACATTTCAGTGCATCGCTGGTGGGAAGTGGTCTCAGCATGACAAACTTTGGCTCCAGGTAAGGATGGGAGTGGCCCCCTGCTCATGCCTGCCCATTCCTCGGTAAGGGCAGAAAGCATGTGCTGGGATGAAGGGCTCGGTGTGGGTAAGGGGAGGGGATATTTTGATGTGCCTCTGCTCCTTGGATGATACTCTGCCTCCATGATCTTGTGAGATCTTCACTCTAACTTGGTTCTGTAGGCATCAGGATACCCATTTTACAGATGTAGAAACTAAGACCACAAACCTAGAAGTGCCAAACTAGAATTTGTAATTATGCCCTTTCCACGCTGCCTTCTAACAAACTTTGTCCTTTAAGGCCAGACCCCCAGGGCGAAGGCAAAACTTAATACTTTAGATTCTGGGTATGTGGAATCATGAAATCTTCACTGGAGGGACCTTAACTACCCAGTGGTCCACCGGATTCCTGTCTGATGGGTAATGCTCCTCCACAGTATTCTGGTAAAGTCTGATAAAATCACCCTTTGCCAGAATATTTCACTACATCAGCAAAGCCATGTGTTCTTTGGCTGAAAGAGTCTCTCAAGAAAGTCAGGAGGATGTTCTGAGTTTGAATCTGTTCTGCTCTTAGGTCTGCTCTTTGGCCTTACTTTCAAAGCAAGATAAGAGAGGATCTCTTTCAGTGGAGGTAGGGGAAAGGATGGGACACAGAATTAGACACAAATTGTTGCAGCATCAGAGATATTCCCAGGGATGCTAATGTAGAAATACCAGTGAGTAGCCACATGGGCTATTGAACGTATTTTGGTTTTTTTTATTTTACACAAATTCATTGAGGTTTCATTGAGATATAGTACTTAAAATGGGTAATTTAACACATTTTCACGTGGGTATATTTGTGAAACTGTGATCACAGTCAAGATACTAGACATATCCATCATCCTCAGAAGTTTCCTTATTCCCATTTGAAATCCCTCCTTTCTGCCCTCCTTACTCTCATCTGTCTCCAGGTGATCACTGATCCGTGTTCTGTCACTGAACAGCTGACCCTTGATCTTGCACAAGTTTGAACTGGGTGGGCGCACTTATACATAGATTTTTTTTTTCCCAATAAATACAGTACAGTACTGTAAATGTATTTTCACTTCCTTATGATTTTAACATTTTCTTTTCTCTAACTTCACTAAGAATACAGTATATAATACATATAACGTACAAAGCATATATTGACTATGTTATTGTAAACTTTCTGGTCAACATAGGCTATTATTTAGTTTGTGGGGGGAGACAGAAGTCATACACATATTTTTGACTATAGTGGGGCTTGCTGTTTTTAACCCCCATGTTGTTGAAGGGTCAACTGTGTATTCATTTGCATGTTCTAGAATTTTGTATGAAGTCACACTGTATGTACTCTTTTTTTCCACTCAACAGAATTACTTTGAGATTCCTCTATGATGTGTATATATGAACTTTATTTAAAATTTTTTTTGTTGAGTAATCCTCCATTGTATGAAGATACCATGATTCCTTTATACATTCATCTGTGGATGGACATGTGGGTTGTTCATTTACTGGTTATTTAAAAACAAGTTGCTATGAACATTCATGGACTTGAATGGACGTATGGGCAAATGCTTTCGTTTCTCTTGGACAGATGCCTAGAAGTGGAATGGCTGGGTCATCTAGTAGATGTGTAACTTTTAAAGAACTGCTGAGCTGTTTTCCTGTATGGTTGTACCATTTTGCATTCCCATCAGCAGTGGATGGGAGCTGTCTTTGCTCATCAACATCCCTGCCAACGCTTGGTATGGTCATTCTTTTTAGTTTGAGCCATTTGAACAGGTGTGTAGTGGTACCTCCTCGTGATTCTTGTTTCCCTTTCCCTCAGGACCAGTGATGTTGAACTCCTCTCCATGTGCTCATTTGCTGGCATTCGTGTGTCATCTTTGGTGGTGTGTCTGTTTCAGTTTTTTTTTTTTTTGATCCTTTATTATTGGTTTGTTTCCTTATTATTGCATTTTGAAGTTCTCTTTATGTTCTGGATACAAATCCTTCGTCAGATACATGCTTTGCAAATATTTTCTCTCTTCATCTGTGGTTTTTCTTTTCATTCTCTTAATTGTAGCATTGGAAGAGCAATTTTTAAATTTGGATGAAATCAAATTTATCATTTTTTCTTTTTTTGGATCTTGTCCTGGCATCATTTGTAAGAAATCTTTGCCTAACCGAAGGAGACAATGATTTTTTTTCTTCTGTTTCCTTCTGGAGATTTTATAATTTAGCTTTTACATTTAGGTCTGTGATCCATTTTGAGTTAATTTTGCATATGGTGTGAGGTATGCATCGAAGTTCTTTTTTTTTTTGGTGTGCATTTAGGTATCTCCATTGTTCCAACATCATTAGTTGAAAAAGAGCCGCCTTTCTCTGCTGTGCTGCTTTTGTCCACAGAGATAGGGGGCTATCCCTGGGCCCTTGCTCCCGTTCCGTTGATCTCTTCGTCTATCTTTATGCCACTATCACACTAACTTGGTTACTGTAAGCTTTATAATAAGTTTTGAAATCTGGTATGTTAGTCTTCCAGTTGTTCTTCATTTTCACAGTGATTATGGCTGTTCTATGTCTTTTGCACTTCCATATGACTTTTAGAATCACTTTGTCAACTTCTACATGAAAAGCCTGTTGGGATTTTGATGGGGATTGATTGCATTGAATCTGTAAATCACTTTTGCAGAGAACTGACTATCTTAGCAATAATGACTTTTGTGAGTCTGAACATGGTATAGTTCTTCATTTATTTAAGGTCTATGGTGATTTCACTCAGCACTCACTGTAATTTTCAGTGCATAGGTCTGACACATTTTTTTGGTCAGACTTATCCTTGGTATCTGATATTTTTGGTATAAAAAGATCTCCATTTCTGACTTTTTACTGCTGCTGTATAGAAATACAATTGACTTCCATATACTGATCTTGTATCCTACGACCCTGTTAAGGTTACAATGGCTATTTACATTTAAATTAATTAAAATAAAATTCCGAACTTAGACGCCCGTCACACTAGTCGCGTTGCAGGTGCACAGTAGCCACGTACATCTAGTGGCTACCATGTTGGACAAGCGCACACAGGACATTTGCAACATTGCAGAAAGTCTTAGTGGAGAGCATAGTCTGAGCTTCAGCAAAACATGAATATTGGTTGGAAGATGCTAACTCCAGTTACCTCTACCTTCATTTATTGAAAGATCTCCACCATCTCTTCTGGCTGATCTAGTTTGAATGTTGGTCCCCAGCCCATGCCCAGCCATCTCTCTGCACATGGATGGAAGTTCATAGTATTGCTTCTCTTCTTGCATTTGAACCCATTTCCTGCAGTTGGAAAATCCCTGGGTGAAAAAGCATCTCTCGGGGCTGACCATTCTTCCTTGCTCCTTAGCAGTGCAGTAGAATGAAAAGAGTAGTAGTGCCTGACCCTCTTGCTTCCCCGGTCTGCCTGCAGACCACAAGACTCACGGTAAACTTCCATGTGTCACTCAAGTATTTAGTGTTAATTCATCTTTCAGTTGTAATTCGTATTCATGTGCATCGGGCTCTCTAGAAGCTTTGTCATTTCGACAGCATTGCCTCGGTTGGGTCAGGAGACCGAGAAAGAACAATCACAATATTTTCAACACCTTTACTTAGCTTTTCCAATTATTTTATGGTGATTGTTGCTGCATTTCTGAGTTGCATGTCCTAAACCTTGGCTTTATCAGCAGGAGGATTTAGAAGGTAATAGAAGTATTGGAGAAAACAGAAACATATGGTGTGGAGCTCTTCCACATCTTATTTATTTACCTCCTTTTCAGTGTAAACCAAATCTTATTTCACAGAACGTTTTTCAGGTGGCTTACAATGGGACATAAAGCATGACAAGATAGCATAAATTAAAAGTGAGGCAGTGGGAGATAGGAAAGGAACACACTGCTGCAGAGCTGGTCATAATGTTAAAACTGCGTTTCTCCACATCTGTGGCTTCCTGGGTTGAGGGGGGTTGGTCACGGGCGGAGCCCACTGCACCGCAGCTGCTAACCGCATAAAGGAAACTTGTCAGCTACACAGTTCAGAGTGTCCACAAGATAAACACAAACCAATTGCTCTGGAAACTTCTAACTTGTTCACACAGAAGCCAGACAGGAATTGTTCCCAGGAGTCCTCATAAAGAAAACAGCGTCTGATGTAAGGCACGGTGTTCTGTCTATTGAGGGCGCACAGTTGAGCTTCACGGGCTCGTTTCCTATATTGGTGCTCTGTGCAAAGGCAGTTTGGGGAGGTGGTCGAAGAGGGAGGGGATGGAGTTGGGCAGTGAGATGGGACAAAAGTCCCCAACTCTCTGCTAATATGTCTCTATCCTGGGATACTTTAGATATACCTGGTGAGTGAATAGTTTCAATAGCTACTCCTTTAAGGAAACCACCAGAAATACTGTCTCCTTCATCTATACTTCAGGAAATACTGGGAGGTAGATGGTTTACACTGTGCTGTCTGGTAAATGCTGCTTGGCTAGTTAAGTCCAGGCTTACATTCAGCAGTGTGGTTGGAAGTGAGTTAACATCTTTGTAGAAAATATGAGGCACCTGTTATGACAGCTGCCTGCCGATCAGGAGGCCGCTGCACCCTGATCTGACATGGGCTGAGGCAGTAGTGAATTTCTCATGAGATGCTGCTTTGGATCTGTTCCAGCACCTGGAGGAACAGCATACAGACTGGCCACAGTTCTGTTCCACAGATCAGGGCTTTTGTGACTCAGTCTGAAAATTTCCAAAGTAAGCGAAATAGGTATACTGTGGCCAAGAGTCTACCTTTCAACAATGCTATTTCCTTCTGTAGCTTCCAAGAGACACTGAGGCATCACTGTTGGTCACCAAAGATGGAAACGTTTTTTATCCACCAGTTTTAAGTCAGGGAAATAAAGCCAGTGACTCTGTTTCCAGAATAATATGTCATTGCCCCTTCTCTCCAGCAATGAGATAAATCCCTATCATCTGTGTTGGAGAGAATGATTGCCTTCCTTTCTAT